GAGACGGGGTTTCACCATGTTGACCAGGATGGTCTTGATCTCTTGACCTCGTGATCCACCCGCCTCGGCCTCCCAAAGTGCTGGGATTACAGGCGTGAGCCACCGCGCCCGGCCTAGTTTTTTGTTTTTGTTTTTGTTTTTGCAAAGGAGTCTCTCTCTTTCACCCAGGCTCAATGCAGGATTTCGGCTCACTGGAACCTCCATTTCCTGGGTTCGTGCAATTCTCTGCCTCAGCCTCCTGAGTTGCTGGGATTACAGCCACCTGCCACATTTTTGTATTTTTTGTAGATCCACCCGCCTCGACCTCCCAAAGTGCTGGGATTACAGGTGTGAGCCAATGCGCCCAGCCTGGCCTAAGTCTTTCTTAAAAACGGGAGACTGGCCGGGTGCAGTGGCTCACACCTGTAATCCCAGCACTTTGGGAGGCTGAGGAGGGTGGATCACCTGAGGTCAGGAGTTTGAGACCAGCCTGGCCAACATGGTGAAATCCTGTCTCTACTAAATATAAAAATAAGCCAGGCAGTGTGGCACATGCCTGTAATCCTAGCTAATAGAGGGGCTGAGGCAGGCAGATCACTTGAACCTGGGAGGCAGAGGTTGCAGTGAGCCAAGATTGTGCCACTGCACTCCAGCCTGGGCAACAGAGCAAGATTCTGCCTCAAAAAACAAACAAAACTGAGATTAGTCTGAACTATTATCAGAGTAGACTAAGTGACAAAATGCCAGTTCTCTGGGAAACACAGGCTAGACTTCTAAGGGAGGGATTAGGAAACAGCATTAAGGCATTTAGAAAAAACCCTGTGGCTTTTACTAATGACTGAGAGGCAGCTCCTCCCCTTCCTGGTCTGGCTGCAGAAACAGGAAACAGGCCAGCAGATTGACAGGATCAGAAGAGTCTGCCCAGATGGTCAGACCTCGGGAAGCTATGTCAAGATGGCAAACTGGACATACAAGAACTCCGGGTAACACAATTTAGGAAGAATCCAGATGTTCCCAAGATAATGAAACTGGAAAATTTTCCCGTAGCTAATGTAGGGGTTTGCGAAGAGGCTTTGCCATCTCTGTCAACTGATATAGGCTTGGAAGAAGAAGAAGGGAAAAGGGGAGAGAGCACAAAAGCAACTCCTCAGGCAGTCCTTTCTAGGTTTGCATACACCTGACGATGTGACACCTACAGCACTCGCTGTGAGGGAACAGTGGCCAGGAAGCTCACACTGGGATTTGGAAGCTAGGTGAGCTCGTAGCACCAGGCAGACACAAAGGGCAATGATATATTTTAAAGATTAGAGACCATCCACAGTTTCGAGGTCTGTGGTCCACTAGGAGTGGACCTGTTGACGCTGCCTTGCTGTCCATCTAATGTATAGAGGAAAACACTGGCTGCCACCTCTAGAAGCCAGCTCCACGCCAGCCTGTGTTCCATGTCTGCTTCTGGTGAGTGCTCTTGGGATGTGCTCAGAGCTGGCCTACACTCTGAGGATTGGGATATACACCGGGCCTTGCTCTGCTCAAGGAGTTCCTTGGGGGTTGGGGAGGGCAGGGGCCACAGCATGGCAAGTTGACAGGCCAGAAGAGAGCTGCTGCACAGGGCACTCAGTCAAGTGGGCAGCGAGCAGGGTAGAGGGTGGGAGGGGAGGGGGCAGCGGCCATGAGCTGGTCTAGAAAGGTAGGGGGTGTAGGAGTGATGGCGAGTGGGCAACACCTATATCTGGGAGTGGGCAGACCACATTCCCACCAGAGATATCAGATTCCTTACCCAGCTATTTTTTTTTTTCTGAGAAGTAATCTCGCTTTTGTCACCCAGGCTGGAATGCAGTGGCACAATCTTGACTCACTGCAACCTGTCTTCCAGGTTCAAGCCATACTCACGTCTCAGCCTCCCGAGTAGCTGGGATTACAGGCGCCCGCCACCACACCTGGCTAATTTTTGTAATTTTAGTAAAGACAGGGTTTCACCACGTTGGCCACACTGGTCTTGAACTCCTGATCTCAGGTGATCTGTCTGCCTCAGCCTCCCAAAGTGCTGGGATTATAGGCGTGAGCCACTGTGCCCGGCCTATTTTCTTTCTTATTTTTTTTTTGAGACAGAGTCTCGCTGTGTTGCTTAGGCTGGAGTGCAGTGGCTCAATCTCGGCTCACTGCAACCTCTGCCTCAGCCTCCCGAGTAGCTAGGATTACAGGTGCGTGCCACCACACCCAGCTAATTTTTGTATTTTTAGTAGAGATGGGGTTTTCACCATGTTGGCCAGCTGGTCTTAGAACCACTGACCTTGTGATCCGCCCACCTTGGCCTCCCAAAGTGCTGGGATTACAGGTGTGAGCAACTGTGCCCAGCCCATTTTCTTAATAGTACTAGACTCTCCGAATTTCTAAACTGTGAGAAAAATTCTAAGGCTGCACATGTCTATATACTCGTATGTTTCAAGTTGATTCTCATTTTGGTCTCCATGTGTGGACCTTTTCTGGTCACATGTATGCAGTGCTGGACCTGAGCCCAGGCTGTGCTGAGGTCGTGAGGCCATCTCCTTGGTCACGGTGCTTATGTCAGACACAGGTACTGGGGGAGCACAGAGTCAACCTCAGGTCATCTTGGGAGCTATGCAGAAAGAGAGACTTTGTTCCTCTGATAGATGGCCCTGCTGGGTGCTGTTTTGCCCCTGCACGATCCAGACCCACCTGTGAGGTAGACAGGGACAGCAGAGGTAGGAGACAGAGACTGATTCCTGATGGCTTCTTTTGCTTAAGCCACTTTGAGTTGGATTTCTGTTACTTGCAACCATGAGTCCTGACTCGAGGAGAAAAAGCCACCCATTCTGTTGAAAATGCAACCATCACACAAATGGACAAGTTCTACCATCTGCAGTGTGATCTACCCCAAGGCCCAGGTATCCCCAGCAATGTGTCCAGACTGGGACATCAGGGAGGAAAGATGTTAAGTCAGAGGGGAGCAGAACTACCAGCACTGGCAGCAGACAGACAGACTCTGGCAGATGCAATGGCCAGTTCCCAGAAAGGAAGGGGGCTGGGCTGTGCTGTGCAAGGCCGGTGAGTGAACCACCACCATGCCAGGCTTCCATTTTCAAACAAGCCATGCACCCTCTGGCCTGACTGTAGGCCGATCAAGCAACGCTCTCATTGCCTATCTGTTCCCTAAGGCCCTGGATATGAAGCTAAGGAACAGGAGTGTCCTTGGTCACTAGGAATGAATGTGCTCAATGAATTAACTAAGAGCTCACTAACATCCCCATGTGGTTAGCAGAAATCAGTGCTGGGTCCCTCTGAGGCTTAGCTTGCTGAAAGCTCATCGGTGAACGGTGGATAGGGCTCCTAAACAGCTCACCCTCCTTTTGCCAAAAGGAGGTAGGTTTGGGGCCTGAGGGATGTGGTGGGTGGCCTGGTGTGCCTGCAGTGGCAGATGAGGGGAGTGGGGTTCTTACTGGCTGAGGTGCAGGCCCATTTCCTGGAGGGCTTGTTCCTGCTCCTCGCAGATCTTCTGCAGCTCTGCCTTCTCGTCCTGAAGCTCCTGCAACTCCTAAAATGAACAAACCAACCAGATGCTGCTGGACAGAGGATTACAAGGTTTTTTTTTTTTTTTGACGGAGTCTTGCATTGTTGCCCAAGCCGTAGTGCAGTGGAGCGATCTCGGCTCACTGCAATCTCCGCCTCCTGGGTTCAAGCAATTCTCCTGCTTCAGCCTCCTGAGTAGCTGAGTGCGGTGGCTCACGCCTATCATCCCAGCACTTTGGGAGGCTGAGGCGGGTGGATCACTTGAGGTCAGGAGTTCAAGACCAGCCTGGCCAACAACATGGTGAAACCCCATTTCTACTAAAAATACAAAAAAATTAGCTGGGTGGGGTGGCACATGTCAGTTACCCCAGCTACTCAGGAGGCTGAGGCAGGAAAATTGCTTGAACCCAGGAGGCAGAGGTTGCAGTGAGCCAAGATCATGCCACTGCACTCTAGCCTGGGCAACAGCGTAGACTCCAAAAAAAAAAAAAAAAAAAGTTACCCTCGGCAGGGTGCGGTGGTTTGAACGGCTATAATATCAGCACTGTGGGACTCTGAGGTGGGTAGATCACCTGAGGTCAGGTGTTCAAGACCAGCCTGGCCAACATGGCGAAACCCCTCCTCTACTAAAAATAGAAAAATTAGCAGGGAATGGTGGCACATGCCTGTAATCCCAGCTACTTGGGAGGCGGCAGCACAAGAACCGCTTGAACTGGGGAGGTGAAGGTTGCAGTGAGCTGAGATTGTACCACTATACTCCAGCCTGGGTGACAGAGCAAGACTCCATCTCAAAAAAAAAAAGAAAAAAAAAAAGTTACCCTCACAGGACAAATGAGGCTTTGCCTATTTGAGCTTCTTTTCAAAAGATAAACTTTTTACAAAACAGATCGCTATCTCAAAAAATCTATAGAAAAACCCTACACAAAATTACAGGAAACTTGCATCAGCAAAGACTAGTTTGAAAGGTGGTTTTCTGTTCAACTCTCAAAAAGCTGCTTTTTTGAGAGTCAAGGGTGATGAAGAGGGTGATCTGGGCCTCATTTCATGGCTAGAAGACCCAGAGGCTGGCTGGACCATGTGAGGAGCCCTGCAGGGAGGGAGCTCCCCAGGGACAATGGCACTGACACCTGGGGTCAGAACACCTTGAGCCAGGCTGGTAAGGCCAGGACGGAGACCCAGAAAGTAACGGGGGTTTCTGGGACCATGGAGAGCAACGGTGGAGCTTAGGCCTGAACAGTGGGTGGCTCCCTGCACACCCCGTGCCGCAGCTTCTGCTTCTGTGCACATGCTCATGAGGCACGCTGGGGCTTCACCGGCGATATTAGACATTGTTCTGTCCCTATTGTTGGGGCAGGCTGTAATTGTGTAATTCGAATCTTTTGACTGAAGCATTCTGAAGCAGAATAAAGGAGGTATGCCCTGGGATGAGGCAGAACTTCCTGAAAGTCCTCTTCTGCCCTCCTCTTCCTCCCTTTCACTCTCCAAGCCTGACCTGGCTCTTGAGGAAGCTCTCCCTATCCCCAAAAACTCCAGGCACTTTCCACTAGAAATCAAAAGGGCCTTTCCTGACACACTCGACTTGTGCAGTGGTGTCCATTACCATGTTCAATGCAACAAAATCCAGGTCCAGAAGTCACCGCAGCCCCGTAGGCCCCTCCTGGGAAGGTGCTGAGAGAAGCCCAGTTTGGGCTCAGTTGTGCTGCAGCACTTAGCAGTGCAGGGGCCTGAGAAGAGGGCACCCCATTCCCACAGGGGAGGAGCCCCCCATAGCACCCCAGGCTGCAGTCATCTCTGTCCAGGATCGCAGAGCCTCCTCCCCTCTGGAAAGACAGCTGATGATTTTATATTAGGGCAAATGTTTCACACTGCCTCGGAGTTTCCTGGGACGTCTAGCTCCACAGCCAGACAGTGAAGGCCTGCTGGACCCTACTTCTCTCGCCCTCTGAAGCCCACAGCATCCAGGCCATGCCTCTAAGTGAGAGGGTGTTCCAGGAGACTGAGGAGATGTTGAGGAAGTGGAGGGTGGGGTCAGTCTGCTTCCCAGGTATGACCTGCCCCTGGGCAGAGTGGCTGAGGTGAGAACTGGCATGTGGTCGAAGATGTTTACTGGTTCCTCCCAGCTTCCTCTCCTGCAAGCCTACCACCCACTCTCCACGCAGTAGCCAATGACTGTCCGCGGATGAAATGGATCCTGTCCCTCCACCAACTTCCCACCATGCTCAGAATAAAACTCACATTCCTCCCCCTGCTCACAGGGCCCATGAAGGGCTCCCTCCTGCCTGCCGCCTGAGGCCTCCCCTTTGCTCCTCACACTCCTGTCTGCTCCTGCAGTCTCTGCCCCAGAGGTGCTTTGCAGGGCATCACTCACTGGAGCCTCTGCTCACCGATCACTCCCTCCCCAGACCTCTCTGCACACAGGCCACTGAGGACACTGTTCTGCTTTATTCTCTTCATGGCACTCACCTTTATCTGAGCTGGCCAGCAGGCTTAGTGGCTTATGCTTTGTCTTTGCCTTAAGCTCCTAAAACAGGAGCTCCCTAGGCAGGGAACAGCCTCCCCACACCCCGGAGCTGCCTGGCTCCCACACAAAGGGAGAGGAGCAGGGAGAGGAGCCTGCCAGGAGCACGGGAGGGGCTTCTGGGGCTGCTGGAGGCTCTCCTCTCCCAGGCTGGCCCACCTCACCTTTTGCAATCCTTCTACTTGCTGTAGCTCTGTTCTGAGTAGAGAGGAAGTGTCTTTCTCGTGCTGTAATTCACGCTGAAGAGCTTGTCTTTGCTCTTTTTCTGATTTCAATTCTTTCTCTAGGCTTGAGCTGTTTTCCCAAAATGAACTTGAGTTAGTCCCAGTGGGAGATTTTCATGGAAGATCCACAACCCAATTCACTGCCCAGGAAATGGAGAACTCTCAGAATTGGCACTTGAGCATCTAAACCCTTTGGCAAGGCTTCCCTCTCCCCCAGGGTCACCTACCCTTCCACAAAAAAGAGCAGAAACCAGGGAGAGAAAAGCCTGCAGGGACACACGGGACACTTACGCAGGAGAGAAGAAAGAGCTCTAGAACACTTAGGACCACATAGGCAGAATCTCCCCTGACATAGAGATCTGAAGAAAGGAAGTCCAAAATTTGTTCTTTTTTTTGAGACACGGTTTAGCTCTGTTACCCCAGCTGGAGAGCAGTGGTGCAACCTCAGCTCACTGCAGCCTCAACCTCCTGGGCTCAGCTGATCCTCCCGCCCTGGCTACCCAAGGTACAGTGATTACAGGCATTAGCCACTCCATTCTGGCCAATTCTGCTTTCTTCGTTTTTTCTTTTTTTGGGGTGGAGTCTTGTTCTGTTGCCCAGGCTGGAGTGTAGTGGCGTGATCTCGGCTCACTGCAATCTCTGCACACAGGTGAGCAAGGACACTGTATCCTTGAACCCTCCTTGCAGAGATCCTTGAACCCTCCAGGTTCAAGTGATTCTCCTGCCTCAGCCTCCTGAGTATCTGGGATTACAAGCACCTGCCACCATGCCTGGCTAATTTTTTGTATTTTTTTTTGAGACGGAGTTTCGCTCTTGTTGCCCAGGCTGGAATGCAATGGCGTGATCTCGGCTCACCACAACCCCTGCCTCCTGGGTTCAGGCAATTCTCCTGCCTCAGCCTCCTGAGTAGCTGGGATTACAGGCACGCGCCACCATGCCCAGCTATTTTTTTGTATTTTTAGTGGAGACGGGGTTTCACCGTGTTGACCAGGATGGTCTCGATCTCTTGACCTCGTGATCCACCCGCCTCGGCCTCCCAAAGTGCTGGGATTACAGGCTTGAGCCACCGCGCCCGGCCTAGCACTCGTTTCCTAATGAGGCACTGTTTCTTCACCATCAGATGTGGTCTCACAGGACTGTCATGAAGGGCCCTTCCCTGGTTGGGCTGAAGCCGGAGTCCCGTGTCCTAGCTCTGTGCTCTGCCTCCTGGGCTCTGCAAGCTGCCCCGGGGCCTCAAGGCAGTCTCCAGTATCCACTCACTCAGGTGCACCCCCACTTTCAATCAGTTCCCTTTGATTGAAGTAAGTAGAGTGAGCTTCTGGTGCCTGCAACCCCAGACCCTGCCTGAGACACTGCCCGAAGTGACTAGCTGGACTGGCAGGTGCGGGAGAAGGGCCAAATCTGAGTAAGATTAGGACACTTGGTGACGCTGATCCCTGTGGAGAGACAGAAGGCAATGGACAGCAGGCACCATGTCCCATGGGCCTGAGGAAGCCCTTCTCCATACGGGCCAAAGCCCTACCCCCGAACAGCCCTGGGAAGCAGATGGATTCTATTCCACAGGGGAGGCGGCTGAGGCTTTGAAAGGTGGCTCTTAGGCGGGCTTTATCAGGGAGAAGCAGCACCTATGATTTATTCAGCCTTAGGGACAGGGGTGCTCCAGAAGCATGAGGTACTTTTTCTGGCCTGTTTGCATCTGCTGGAAGTGATTTTCTTGCTGACAAACAGATCCTCATGACTGAACTAGAGTCGCACACCTGAGGCTGCCAGTGTGTACCCAGGATGTTCATCCTCACGTCAAAGAGCTTTGGGAGCTCTAGAATCCTGTTTTATGATTCTTATCCGCCCTCTGATGCTGTGAAACTGATGTTACCTAGAAGTTCAGACTGCTGTTGGACGCCCAGAGATATTAGGGTCCCTGCTGTGCACCAGGTGGAAGAGTGCCATGTGGAAAAGGACTGCTTTTGCACTGCTGCCAGGCACAGCTGAGGCGAAAGGACAGATGCTCCTACAGGCAAGGCCATTCTGAAAGCCAGGCTGCTCTGCCCCCAAATGTCTGCCTCCTCTCCCAAGCTCTCTGCCCTACAGGTCAGCCTGGCACCTGCACGCGCACTGGGCCACCTGCAAGCTCCTGCTCTTCAGTGGAATGTGTCATTCCGCCCTCCTCAAAATGGTGTGGAAACCTGGCCCAGCTCAGGGTTTGGCTTGAGTGGTTCCTAGCAATGGCACAGGGCACTGCAGTGGGGCTTGCTGACCTCTGGCCTCTGACTTCAACAGAAGGGCCTGGTTTCCACTGTTTAAAGACAACTGCGAGAGAGGGTCTCTCCTCTCTGCCACCTGCTTCCCTTTAGGAATACCCATTAGGCTTATTGTCAAAGCACAGCTCATGGCGGAAGAACTGCAGTCAGAAGACCTAGATTCAGCTTTGGCCCTGCCACCCGTCATCATTGTCCTCTCAGCTGAGGGACACATTTCTGAGCAGCATTTGGCTTCTCTATAAATATGTCATCACCACCACTGCCTCAACCACACACTCTCACCTGACTGTTGGGATGCTTAAATGTACAAGCACATAGGCAATCAGTGCAAGCTGACAGTGAGGTGGTTCTTAGCAAGCCAGTACCTTCAGTGCCTGGTTCACTTCTTTTATGTCTTCCATCTTCAGCTTGGACCTAAGGGAAAAAAGGCCATATCATAGCCGAGAGAGCGAGGCCCTGAATCCCTAACACAGCCAGTGCTCATGACTAGCTCCATGAGGATAACGGACTTGTGAGGAGACCCAGAATATGAGATGTTCTAAAATGCCTTCTGCCTTTGTACAATCCCAGAGTTGCCTCATCACACTGGCCTCCATGTCTGCTGAGGGCCGAGGCTGAGGCTGGGGGCTGCAACTGGCACAAAAACATACTGCTTAGCCTGCAGCGGGTGAAAGATTTTGAGGGAGGCTGAGGCGAGAGGTTCGCCTAAGGCCAGAAGTCCAAGGCCTGGCCCTGTTCTGCACTAGTCTCTACTGCTCTCCACAGCAGGAACCTGAGTCTGCAGGCTTCTCCCTGGCCTCCATTCTGCTGCCTGCTGCCTGGAAGGGGCAGGCTCAGAGGGCACAGCCATTTGTTCTTGCTCCATTCTTGTTGGCATCAGAACAACAATTCCTTTTTTCTGTAAGAGGGCTGAACATGGTCTAAATTGGCAGAACTAAGGCAAATAAAATGAGCAGTTTGTGCAATTTGGGGAAACAGTCTAATTCTGGTTTTTTTGGAGACAGGATCTTGCTCTATTGCCCATGCTGGAATGCAGTGGTGCAATCACAGGTCACTGTAGTCTTGGCCTCCTGGGTTCAAGCGATCCTCCCACTTCAGCATTCCAAGTAGCTGGGACTAAAGGTACGAGCCATCATGCCCAGCTTGCTGAGTTGTCCAGGCTGGAGTGCAGTGGCGTGATCTCAGCTCACTGCAAACCTCCGCTTCCTGGGTTCAAGCAATTATCCTGCCTCAGCTTCCCAAGAAGCTGGGATGACAGGTGCCTACCACCTGTCATCCCAGGTAATTTTCTTGTACTTTTTTTTTTCCCCGAGAGAGAATCTTGCTCTGTCACCCAGGCTGGGATGCAGTGGCGCAATTTCAGCTCACTGCAACCTCTACCGCCTGGGTTCAAGCGATTCTCCTGCCTCAGCCTCCTGAGTAGCTGGGACTACTGGCATGCGCCATCACGCCCAGCTAATTTTTGGATTCTCAGTAGAGAAGGGATTTCACCATGTTGGTCAGGCTGGTCTCAAACTCTTGACCTCATGATCCGCCTGCCTCAGCCTCCCAAAGTGCTGGGATTACAGGGGTGAGCCACCATGCCCGGCCCTTTCTTTTAGTTTTTTGGTTTTTTTTTTTTTNAACCCAGGAGGCGGAGGTTGCGGTGAGCCGAGATCGCGCCATTGCACTCCAGCCTGGGTAACAAGAGCGAACTCTGTCTCAAAAAAAAAAAAAAAAAAAAATTCTTTGAAAAGTGATAGTAGCAAAGTCATGAAGTTATATCTGAACCAGAGCCATGATATAACCAAGTAAGATGGAAGTTTCCATCCAGAGGAATTAATTCTGTATAAATCACAGAAAGGTGAGAGCTGCTGGTTCCGGCATGCTATCTTCTGGAGTGGCCAGGCAAGAATTTGATTCTTTCCTTTGATTCTCGGGAATGCATATAATTCCCAAGCTCCTGGAGACCCACAGAGTTTGGCACTATCTGAGGCTGTGCTCCCAAGGATGGACGCTCAGGAGGCTGTGGAGGAGCAGCGCTGCAGGAGCAGGGTGTGGCAACTGTCACACACCCGCACTGGCTTGGGGTAGGAGGGCAGGGCCAGCTCGTTGCTGGAGCAGGTGTTGCAGAAAATGTGGCCACAGTTCCGGCAGTGGTGCTAGAGAACAGGAAAAAGGCAGTCACGGGACACCCAAGGAAAAGCCATCTGCACACCCTCCCTGCTTCCTAACGCAGAAGTGCATCATTTGTTTGGAATGGATTCTTATGTTTCTATGGAGTGGTGAGGAGATGTGTGCAAATAGGGATCTTTTTATGACAAAAAATTGACTTTTGCTGTACTTCATCACTAAGCCAGTGAGCTGCTAGTCCATGTTACAGTAAGAGTCTGGTTCATTCTCTGATTGCTGCATTCCAAGGTGGTGGGAGTGGGTCTTTGGCTTTCTAAACAGGTTTCCTGGGTGCCTAATAAGACACTGAGATGAGCACCTGTGCAGCCTCTGCTCCTGTGGCTCCATAGGAGCAGCACATGTGATCTCAAAGGCAGCCTCAGGACGTGGTTCGTAGCTCTGAGCTTACTGCGAGGCACTGCCTGAAACTCGGGGAGCTGTGGCTTCCTCTTTTCCACAGAGCTAGGCCGTTAATGGGACCAGACAAAACATGGATGTGGCAGGAAAGGGGGGTGGCACTGGCAGTGTTTCCTTTAGCTCTCAGTTTTGCTTAAACCCAACTCTTCCCCTGCCCAGCTGGTCTTGGCGAGACTGTTAACCCTGGACCCAAGGGTGACTGATCTTGTTGCCAGAACCTAAAAGGCAGGGGCAAGCACCCTGCCTAGATCACCAGTGAATTTTTGGTGACCTGCTGCCCTGCAGATTCCCCATAGATACTGTTTTTGCCTCAGTTGGCCAGATTTTGGTCCTGCCGCCTACAGAGAATTTTCAGTGACACTCCTCTAGAGCAGCTCTGCACTCAAGGAGCCCCATCTCCCACCAAATCACTGTCAGTCACTGAATGGATGTGCTGGGGACCAGGGGCCTATGACTGGCCAGGGCCTCCTAGAAAAAGGGTGCCAGGATAGAAAGCCATCTGCATGGGCAAGCAGGACAGGTGGGGCTGCCCATCTGCCAACCAGTGAGCACAGTCATGGGGCAGTGAGCCTGGTCTGATGCAGGCTTCTGGAACCAGAGAAAGGGGAATCCCAGCAGGCAATGAATGACTTGGGGCACTGGGAGGGTGGGTGGAATCCTACATACCTTCCTCCGGGAAATGGAGAACTCCTTCTCACACTGCCTACAGTGTGTCGCTTCGTCATCTTTCAGCCAGGCATGGCCCTGAAGAGGAAAGGACATTCTAGAATCCACTTTCTGTCTAAGCCCCTGGTGAGTGAGTAGCTGTGTTCTGGCTGCATCCATTGTCCCTCATAGCACTCGTTTCCTTTTTTTTTTTTTTTTTTT